GATAGATAGATAGATAGATAGATAGATAGATAGATAGATAGATAGATAGATAGATTTTAAAAAAGAAAGAAAGAAAGTGGAGAGGGAAGGAAAGGAAGAAAGAAGGGAAATATGGAAGAAAAGACACGAGAGCCATATCCCCAAGGTCGGCAAAATATCTGATATCTGGAGCAACAAGAACGTCAGAAGCACTGATGAGAGAGCAGGTACTCGGGATGATTGTATCACATTCACTATTTATCATTATGAAACCACAGAAAAGAGATGCTGATCTTTTTCGTATTCCTTGTTGTATCTTTCCTCTAGCTGTCGAATTCTGCGAGCATAAGGGTTTGCAATACCAGGTGAACCAGACTTTCGTTCATGACTGCGAAGACAACTGCACGTGTTTGGCCAATGGTCAGTTCGAGTGTTTCCCTTTGTGTCCGGAGCAGGGTATCCCGGAACTAGAAGAGGGCTGCCATCTCACCCAGGGCAACCACTGCTGTGAAGTTCGAGTCTCGTGCTCTGTTGGTGGAGGTAACGCTCAACACGTACTCACTCACTCTTTCAACCGATATACTGACTTGATTTATTCTCAATACATGTAGTACAATCCAATGACTCCATCCCCCCCCCCTTCAAGAGAGCTTTACTTTGACGGTCTATAATTGAATAATATACTAGATTGTCTTTGTACATTGTTCCTTACTTTAACGCTTGAAGTCAGAATTGCTTCTTAAACGAAGTCCGGCATACAGGCGTATGGTATTAAAAGCGCTGATGTATAATCTACGGCTCTAAGTTCAAGATGGATTGAGATGCTAATGAACCATACGGTTCTACTGGACAATAAGAAATTAAAATTATGAAGAATTATATCTTTTAAGATGCTACACAGTGAAAATAGAATAGAATCAGCAGAAATGTGTTTTCTAAGAAAACTGTTGAGAATTTCTCGGAAGGAAATGAAATCAAATGGCATAGTATTTGAAGAAACCCACTTAGTCTGCTCCCTGGTAGAAATAATTCAGAAGAGACCTGTGCAGTTTCTGGGACACTTGAATAGAGATAAACACCTTGAAGATTTAGCTCACTTTGGTAATATTGAAGGTAAATAAGGCAAAGGAAGGCTCAGAGCAACTAACGTGGAAAGCATAAACAGTGGGGGGCGGGGAAATAAAAGCCTTTTTTAGAGCATCAGAGAAAAAGAATGACGATCATGGATGATCCCGGATATCAGTCGCAGATCTGGAACAGGGAAGGCTTCGAATATAAGAGGGGGGTGGAGAACCATTCCTGCCAATGTCTGCTCCAAACAAGACACTCGATGATGATTGTTACAGTGTTCTACTCCATGAAAACTATTTGCTTGCGAAAAAGCCCACAGTCCTTTATTGAAATGATTACGCTAATCTTCAAATGCCTACCTATATTCAGTTCTCAATTTTTAGCTACTTTTGTATTCCGAAACATTACAATGACCTCGTGGTGTGGCAGTTAACCGCTTCGCCGCCGCACGATGAAGACCAGAAGACTTGAGAGAATAATTTTTATCGACAATCTCAGTCTTTTTACTCGGATTTTGTATTCTTATCAACCCTGTGTGGTTCTGACAGGCATTGTCGAAGCAGCAAGCCCCCTATATAACTTAAATAGTGTCGGTAGTGGTGTAAAACACACCCAGTTTTTATTTTTCAGCAACATCTTTTGATTGCCGAATATTCGTGGTAGTCCTTTGTCGTGTTCGCAACCCTAATGTTCTTATTCCAAGTCCTCATGTTTAATATGAAATGGTTACTGCACAATGTACTAAACGACAGTGATATTGTGTTACACTGTGCTGCTTGTTTTAGTCTTTTGTTTATGACAGAAGAGTCAATGGTTTGACATGTAATATCAGGGGTAATGAGTATTTTTTAACTTTTAAATTATTGGGTGGGGGGGGGGGCACAAGAGTGCCTTTGAGGTATCTTCACACTGCCAAATTGATTCATTGATTCAGTCGGAGCCAGCCAAACATTTCCTTCATGGAAGGGCAATAGTTACCATTTTGGCACAGTTCAAAGAGGTTATGGTAGAGTCCGATAAGTGTTTAAGTCCCCTCTGTTGGTGGCTAAAGTTTATTCCGCGCCTGGTGGGGTTTAGACATCAACAAATAAAATACCTACCACAATTTTTTATTAAGATAGATAGAAAACCCTTTTTGTAATTCGTGCAATTTTGAATACTTCCCGGTGAATCGTTTCTTCTTTTTCCAGAGGTCTGTGACGTGGAAGGCGTGAAGTACTCACACGGTGATGAGTTTGAGTCGGGCTGCAAACAGTGCGTGTGTATGCACGGAGAGTTGGAGTGCCAGTACCCGCCGAGTTGTCAGGTTTTACAACCGTCAGAGAGCTGTCCGAACCCGGAGCCCGTGGACGTGGAGGGAGCCTGTTGTCCAGATTGGTCCTGTGGTAAGCCTGTGATGATGATGATGATGATGATGATGATGATGATGATGATGATATAATCAAAAACTTAAATAATCTTAGTTTTTTCGCCTCACATATCTGTTCAAGTTCCCTAAGTGCAGTATGTCGTTTTTCATCATCATCATCATCATCATCATCATCATCATCATCATCATCATCATCATCATCATCATCACCATCACCATCGTTTTTCATCATCATCCTCATCATCACCATCATCATCATCACCATCATCATCATCATCATCATCATCATCATCATCATCATCATCATCATCATCATCATCCAAATCTGAAGCAAGCACCAGCAAGCTCGGCTCATCATTCAATTCCGTGTTCGGACGCTCTTGAAGGGTTTCTGTTGGGCTACCCTGATCTCTTCCAGCCATCCAGGAAGTTTACGCTGTCTGGATCAGTTCTTCTTGGTTCATTTTTGCCTCTTTATGCTAATAATGCTTAACATTTTCTTTAACAAAATATTTTGGCTGAACCTAGTTCTCGAAGTAACGTTGACAGTTTAATAATATAATATGTATATAATCATATTTTTCGTTTTTGTGGAAATACTAGTTAAGACAGTAAAGTACCCAGTCCCCACACTGGCACTTAACTCTAACAGAAAAAAATCAAGGTGTTAAAGAAAAGTAAATGTTGGCACCCCATTGATTGATACTTTAATTTGTCGTTGAAATTCATAACTAACCCCTCGACAGCATTTTCGATATGTTCTCATTTGGATATGTTACTGACGCGAAGGTGAGATATATACATTGTGGGTTATGTTTGCTTTTTATATCTTGATCAGGTTTTTTTCCTCCTTGCAATTGTTGATATGGTTTTATCGAAAAGACTTTTTGTTTCCGTTTCATTGGACCTTTCTATGTAGCTTTGACTTGATTATGACTAATTCAGCTCACCTTATACACATTATTCACATATATATCTATCAACGCATCCTTCCATTTTGTCAATCTGCTCACCCATCTTCCCATTCATCCACCAATATATCCATCCATCCACCCATCCATCCATCCATCCATCCATCCATCCATCCACCCATCCATCCATCCATCCATCC